CCGACGTAAGTTTTACACTTTTTTATTATTAAACTTACAATTGACATGTGTAAAATTTTTTTATATTTTCCAGATGAAAGGATTTCGAAATCATTGCATAAAAGTGTTCAATGAAAGGTAAATACTATTTTGAACTAATAATTAAAATATAATCATATTTAAATACTATAATATTTTATTATTATATTAATATTAGATTTTCAGAATTCATGAATGATACATATTTGTTAGCATACTACCTACATCCTAAATATAATGGTTATTTAATTTATTTAATATAATTATAATTAATTTATAATTTTTATAATTTAATGGTTATATTAAATATTAATATTTATTAAAAATAGGCATTGGTATTAATAAACAACATTTTCCAAAAATTTTAATGCATGCTGGAAGTATTTGGAAAGATTTAGGACATAATCAAAATTCATGTAAAGATCTGTATGCTCAATTACGTAAATATCAACTTCATTCAAAACCATATGATGCACCTTTCTCAGATAACTATGATACTCCTTATTCCTGGTGGATGACATGCAATGATCAAACAGATAACCTCAAGAAACTTGCCTTAAAAATTTTTGCAGTCACACCTAGCTCTGCTTGCTGTGAGCATATATTTTCTTCATTGGGTTGGTTGTATGGCAAGCGCCGTCAAAATTTATCACTAGAAAAATTAGAAGCAATGGCTAAAATTCACAGATATTATATTACTGATGCAAAGAAAGAGCTTGGATTTGTGGCTCAGGATAAAAGTGAAAATGATGTTAGGAGTTGGATAAATGCTGCATATAATACACTAGAAGAAGATGATGAAAATAATGATTCAATTCTAGAATTACTTCCCAAAAATAATGATGATTCTGAACCTAGTGATGACATTGAATTAGAGTTGGAAAGAATTCTCTCACTAAATGAAGTATTTGTTGTTATAAACAATAATGATTATGTTACAGCAAATCAAGAGGAGAATACAAACAGTGAAGCAACTGAAGAAATAGAAGATTATGACCCAGCACAATTAGCTTCTAATTATCTAAGTGATTTAGAATAATATATTGAATATTTTATACATTTAGTAAATAGTTAAAAGTTTTTCAATTTCACAATTTAAAGTTTAAATGGAAAAAATCTATTTTCTGAATATCTTGTTCAATTTTTTTGTTATGTCAATAAAATAATTAGTAATGTAAAATTTAATAAAATTTATAAAATTTATAACAGTTAATGACAGCAGTAGTAATTACTTGTATTGATAGTATTGTTTGAAAGTAATAATCATTTGTAACTATAATGGTAATAATTATTTACAGTGTTCTATGATTGTATCTACCAGAATAGTTGTCTTCTTGTGATAGTTACCAGTAATATATCAACTATTTGCGGCAGCCATAATTATTTGCGGCAACCGTATCTATTTGCACAACTGTATCTATTTGCGGCAGCCATAATTATTTGCGGCAACCATATCTATTTGCGGCAACCGTATCTATTTGCGGCAAATGGTAGCTACCAATAGCTATTTACGGCAATGGTAGCTACCAGCTCAATCATTTACGGCAAGTGTCTTTAAAATATAGTAGTTTGAATAATAAAACAAAGGGAAATTTATTAATAATTTTGCAAGAATTAAGAAATATAAAAATAAAATTAACCATATGACATGGTACAAATTAAAACCACAATAAAAAATAACGATACACTATCAACAACATTAAACATTCAAAAA